GCTTTACCACTCATTCGCACTGGAAGCGGATCCGCGTTCGCAGAGCGGTTGCAACCGCAGTTGTATTCAGTACAATTGCACGAGCACTTGATGTCATCAAGTGCGCGTGCAATCGTGCTGGATCTTCATACAACAGCGTTCGCAACCGCTTTGCGAACGCGGATCCGCTTCCAGTGTGAATGAGGCTCTCCTCTCATCCGTTGTTCTGCCGCTCTACCTTTTCAATTTCGTCGGCCGCTTTTCGTGGCGATCTGCCAGGCTTTGTCAGTATACACCAACTCCAGTTGATGATGATGATGATGATGATGGTTTGCGGCTGTTCCCTTTTGAATCGGGCGGTCCCGTAGAGTTTGGAACCTAGCCAGTGGGAATTCGGTTATCCCCGTTGGTGAACTAGCATCCACCAGTTCTCTAATCTTCGCTTCGTGGCTTCCACCTGCTCACGCCACCCTCCGTTGGTTCTCGGTGTAGCGTCGGTGTTGTTGTTGCCGTTAGTCCCACCCGCAGAGTCTGCCACTGAGCTGGAAGCAGACCCAAAGCCGAGTGCCTCTGCCAGTGCGAGCTCCCGGGTTGCCTGTCCACACTCCGCCGGTTGAACTGGTTGCAGACCGGTGCACGACAGCACAATGTGTTCAATTGTCTCATCCGCCTGACTACACAGACGGCATGCTGCAGATTCCACCGTCTGGTCGAAGCGACGGCGATACATCTGCGTTCGCAGCCCTCCTGCGCGTGACTCAAAGAGGAGCCGGCTGCCCAGGCTGTTGTCGTATAGTCTAGTCTCTGCCGAAATGTTGTGCTTATATCGACTTTTAGAAACAAACCGGAGCGCCCCTAGCGGACGTCACCGACGCCGCGCGTGCGCGATGGGGCTGTGGGCAAGACGCTCGTCGTCGCCCATAAACAAACCATTGAAATGCGATGTTGCCGGCGCTAGTGTGAGTCCCCCTGCCCTTTTTTGCGTTCGAATTGTTGATTCTACGTCTTCTTGGCGATGTGTGACTACATGAGCGGCGTCAGCGAAATTACCGAGGCTCGTTACACCGCGAAACTTCGCGTGAATAATGTGACATGTGGCGATTCATTCCGCGTGGGTGCCGCAGTATGTACGCTAGAACCTGATTCGCATCATGAGATTTCGCTCGCAATTTTCAGTCGCGACGCCGCTCGGGCTGCAAAAGCGTGAACCGTAGCTGAGATGGTCAACTTTGATACTGAAAAAACGCAAGCAGAATCGGACCAAGTCAATTAGGCATAACAAGTCAGTGATTGTCACTGGTAACAATGGTCAACATCTCCTTGTATCTACTTTTTACGTGGAGTCTGCTTACCAACCTTCAAACTTAAGTCTTTTGAGGCCTGCACTTAGTTCTTATAGCAAGTACCGGGTCAACATTTGTTCTACGGGCAGGCGTCGTCTAAGAGAGCAGACGACAAGCAGAAACGTTTGAAAGAGCAGACGACAGTTCGAACGATCACGCGGCCGTTTGAAATTGAAGACGCACTGAACGTAGTCCGCAGGTGGTCTGCACAACTTGGTGGTTTTCTGGCGTTCATGTTGGAACAAAACAAATAAATCTGATGACCACAAGTATCCGTGACTTCAACCCAAAGTGCTTCCCACCCAAGCAATCGTTGTGCGACGGCGTCTGCTTTTCCCTGTTCACGGCGCATATCCAGATTCTCGGACGAACCGAGCACGTGAAAGCTGACCTTCAAACCTTTCTCGACTCTTTTGGTACGGCCCCAGTCACGGCGTTTTGACGAGAAGGCAGGTTTTTGTCTGGTTCCTTTCAAAACAACGCGGGAATACACGGCTGGCATGGGGGCTTCTGCCCACAGCCCCAGACCGGAAGTGCGACCGAAGCGCCACCACCGCGCCGTGACGTAACAGAGATGAGCTCGTGTATAGGCCGTTTTACTGAAAGAGGGCGAGAGGGAAAAGGGGAAAGGGCAACCGGCGCTTTCCCCCTTTCTGGTTGTGTAGAAAGAGTGAAAGTCCCGGGTGAGAGGCTTGGCCGGTGTTGAGTGTCTGCAGTGCCCCAACTTCGTTCGCACTTTCTTTTCTGTTTTAAACTCGCAAACTTAATTACAGCTACGGGCTTCGATGGCAACAGTCCCCCGGTCATCGGGTCACCATTGCTCGGTCATAGGGTGCACGAATAAAAACAGAAAGCATCGAATACTGTTCGAAGACCTATGTAGCTTGCAAGGAATCCGGCAAGGCGAGAGCGGCTGCAATGTCTTTAAATGCCCGTTCACACTCATGCGACCAAGTAAAACCGAGAGACACCAGACCGGTTTTTAAGCCTCTTGCGATCTCTTAAGGCTCTGTTATACTCCGACGTAAAGCGCCGTTCACACTCTTGCGACCTAGTACGACCGAAAGAGACCAGACCGGTTTTTAGGACCGGATGCGCAACAGCGGAGCTGGTCCTAAGAGATCGGAAGAGGCTTAAAAACCGGTCTTGTCTCTTTCGGTCGTACTGGGTCGTATTCGGTCGCAAGAGTGTGAACGGGCCTTAACGCGTGCGCGCGTGCGAGCGCGTAGCAGCGACGTCACGTCGGCGAAAACCCGACGCTCTATACTTCGGCGTCCTGGCGTAACCGACGCGACCGGCGGCGTTCGACGCAGCCTGACCGCCTCGACGCCAAAATGGAGCTTGCGGTATTCCGCGCCGGCCGCGCCGGCGACGCCGGACCAGGATGCATCACGCGCTGGCTCCCGGCAGGCGTCGCGCGGGAAGCGCGGCGAATGCGAGCAATAGCAGACGACAGGAGCACCACTCCGTGTGCCGTCATGTTTGAAGAATCGGACTCGGTCGTCGAGAAGCTGATCGAGGGAATTCGTCCTCACCCGCGTGTCTACGACACGAGGAAGCTTGAGTACCTAGACCGGGCGCTTGTCAAAGATGTACCGTATGCACATTGACCGCCTACGCTTGCGGCGCAGGCGGTGCACCAACAGTGCAAGCGCGAGTTTTCGTCGGGCAAGGTAGTACGTCCACGCCATCGCTCGAACTTGGTGTTCAAGAAGCGCGAGAATTCTCGTCTGCTATTGGAAACGAAAAGGAACCGGAAATGGCGCACTCTCGCAGGAAGCGCGCCCTCGTAGCCAGATTCTGCGCATGCGCCGCGCTGGCGACCCACCGACGCGCGCCGCGGGTGTCGCCAGGGCCGCCGGAGTATACGCCTCGCAAGTGGGCTCATTTTCGTCTTCTGCGCATGAGAAAGGAGGCGCGAAGGAGGGAGAGGAGGTTGATGACGATTCCGACTAAGCTCCGCCCTCGCACATGTCGGGGGAGGCCGGGGGGTAAACAAACATCGGCGTCGGCCATGGCGGCCGTGTTGTAGCGGCGATCGCGAGTCTTTTATTTATTGTAGCCCGGTTAAAATTTGCCGAGTCCACAAGATCGAGCAGCTTTGTGCCCCTTACGATTCCTCCGTCGTCTGCTAGAGGCATTTCGAAGATTCCAAGATGAAGACGACGAAGAGCATCAAAGAGAAGGCGCTTGCCTAGCCTCGCGATTGAAACGCCGGTTGCGCCGGTCACTACGAGACCGCCGCCCGATTGTACCGGTAAGTTGCCTTTTATCTTGTTCTTCCTTTACGAACACAACGGATTTTGCCTTCTGGCAGATCTTTATAAATCTTGTGTGGCGGAGTCGATGGGCGCTATTAATCGAAAAACGGCCGAGAATGTAGCGTTTTCGCGATCCTCCGAAGCCTATCTTCGCAGGTGATACTTAGGAATATACACACTCTTCATTTCGACTCGAAGCTGCACGGAGGCCGTATAAGCTATGTTCCGTTTCATTTTAAATGCGGTCGAAGTTAAATCTACATGGGCGAATCCCGAGCTTTGATCATAGCTGCCATGCATGTGCGATCTTGCAGTACAAGCGCTGATCAGATTCTCGCGTTTGTAATTTTCGCTTCGTTCGCATTTAGGTGAGACGCAGTATAGTCATACATCGTATTTGGTATAGTAGTTGCAGTCTACGGTTGTAATCATGGCACTGTAGAAAAGCACAGAGCTCAAAACTTGCCGCAAAAACGCGATCGTTTTTTCTTTCAGGAATGAAATATGAATGGCTGTTACGTGTAATACAGTGAACCAACTCGGACAGTACAAATTTGCCGTTTCACATTAACCAGTGTGAGTGAATTGCCGACGAAGTACCGATGCCGCCTTTCTGCGAAATGTGTTGCGCAGTGTATCTTGGAACCACATCGACGCTGTCAGTGTCTGACGTGTTTTTGCGTGTCGCTTGTCTCTTTTTTCGTTCCCATACCAAGATAAAAATTCGGAGATCGCGCACTATCCAAGCCTAGCTAACGAGCGCCCCATGGAATTGACACGGGAGTAAACAATGACTAACATGTACATATTTTTGTTCGCTCAGCAGACTGGGTCCAGCAAAAGCCAGTGTATAAGTGACAAACTTTCTAACATCATTTGTCATTTCTAGGTCCCAGATGGGCTGTTGACATCCAGAAACACACCAACAGATGGTGGTCATACAGCGATTGTGAAGACATTCCCATTTGGATCCACATTCCTAGTCCACTCATTGATAATCTTTCCTTGTTTCATCAATGCCCAAGTATGCCAGGCGCCGAGTGACTACTCGCATGTGTTAGTAATGGTGGCGTGCGAGGCTTCAGTATTGTCGCTGCAGATAGGGCTCACCCTGCTGTTTGCAGGGTGAGCCCTATCTCCTATGCTGTTTGTGGTGCACCTTTCCATGGAATTGTTTGGTTGATTCCAATTTCCTAGAAACGCCAATATTCAGTTTGGTGGGCCTTGAGTAGATTCGTCAAGGAGGTCTCGTCTCTTTCCTGGGGGTAATACCATGTCAGCTGCTTTGCATGAGCCACTTGGAAACTGTTCGGACCGCTCTAAAGCACTCGTGATTGACCTTACCTGTTGTGTCCATGCTAATGCTGAAATGTAAAGTTCACTGAACCAAGTTTTACTAATGAACAAACACAATCAGTGGAAAGGTTGAATGGCTTTATTTGTTTTCTCGAAGTATACAGTTTTTCATACATAATACATGATGCTGGCAAGGCTACTTTCATTAGCACGCAGGCAACTTAGTCTACATTCTGTTTCACGATAGCTTGGTGAACTGTGGAGGCTACGGCTTCTGCGACCCAGTAAGAATGTCGGAGCGAGGCACATGGACGCATGTCACAGGAGCGTTCGTGTCACCGCGCCAAATGCAAGGACCACCCGCCAGAACCGGCTGTCTAATGCTAGGGCGATGTTTTGAGCGGAAGTGGTCGATTCACGGCTACGATTGTTTGAACTTCGATCACAAGCCATGTTTTTCTCAAAAAAGTGTTGATCTATATTAAGTGTCGCTAATCAGTAACATGTGTCTTCGTCTTTCTTCAGTGTCGTGTAGTGTTGCGGTCCGAAGAATCCGACGGCAACACTACTAAAAGAAGAAGAAAAAACAAAGCCTAGAACTATGTTTTGTCGCAGATGGCGCTCTTGCTGTGGCAATAACGAGGACTCGACCGTGGAGTGTTGTCACGTGCCTGGCTCTGATGCTCTTATTGGGTCACAATGTTTGCCAATTTACCGAGAAACGGAGTATAGTGTCTCACCTGTACACGCTATAAAACAAATGAGATGCCAGGTGTAGCAACTCTCGCAGCTGTAGCCCTTATATTATTCTTTGCTATGCTGTTTGGAAGAATACATAAAAAAATCAGTTTACAAAGCCGAATCTAATTTTTTGCCCTCTTGCATGTTACAAAAATAAAAGCATCACGCCTGAACACCAACATCTGTCTCTAAATTATTCCTTGCTGAAATGAAAAATAAATATACTGTGAATATGAACCAATACAATCTCAAACAGGTTTAAGAATGGATATGATTCAATAAACAATTATTTCAATCTGCAAGCTTGAAATCAAGTATGTGTGTGCATACTTGACCCTGGTCTTTCGACTATTCCCCGTTGACACTTGTTCTCGAAGGATAGGGACTTCGTCGATTTCACGGCAGTTCAAGCATTGGTCAGGCAACATGCTCATGTTTATAGTTTCGGCTGTGCTATAGGAATAACAAAGGTGAGTTGTGTATTGCTGAGTCAAAACAGAACTCTCAGGTCTAAAAGGCTTCTTAAAAATGCACTAAATCTGGTTTTGACTTCATAATTACATGACTCGAACATAAACTACTCACTTCAGCAAGTCTAAGAATTCACAAATAATCTGTGAACATGTATTCTGCTTTTATATTCATTCACTTATGAAACTGATTGCTTATATAAATATGCAATCAGTCTTGCACACCTCCCCATTGCGAGAAGGAAAAGGGAGATTCGTTGGCTTTTTTTTCTCGCCGGAAAGCAGAAAAAGAAAAGGAACAGGTTTCAATGTGCACATTACGTTGAAGTAGGACGGTTACGGAAACAAATTCTGCATCTTCAATATTCATGAAGTAGGCAGATTACTTTCAAGTCATAAGAGGATAAAGTCAGAAACAACTTCAGCTCGCCTTCAATCAAATTTTCCCTTTAGATCCAGGGACGTTTCACCTTCATAAGGTCATCAGTACCAATTGGCATCCATTCAGGACTGTAATGGTAGATGTACTAGCTTGACCTCAAGGTCGCAGTGCCCTCCTTTCATCTGCTTGCAGTGCGACCCCTCGTGCACTTGGTCCCAGATGGTGAAGCTGGTGCTGGACAGGATGTCGTCCCCTGTAAAAGAGTCGTCCCAGTAGTCAAACGATCCGGTTACACTCTTGAGCAGCGTATTTGTCCTCCCATGCCATTACCAACTGAAAATCAGTGAAACCCCATTTTTTAAGCAGCAGAATGCATAAATGGACATGTCTATTCCATTCCCTTCGTACCGAATACCTGCCAGCATCCAAGGGATGCAAATCAAAATAAATAACATTGCATTATTTGCTCTTTTGAGACTCCTTGAACTTAAACTAACTTAAACACTACCACAATTTTAAAGCTGGGAACTTTGAGGACACCTCTCCATATACCGAGATTACATGCTTGTCCCACTCCTGGCTTGTCCTCAGCAGGGTTGGCCAGCGTGTCCTCATACTCCTGGGTTTTTAGTCTTGGAAGTTAAAGCTTTGGTTTTTGTCATTGCTTGGTTGCTGGTAGATCTGGAGGAAGCTTGTACTGTTACTTTGAAACATCAAGTTTACAAATTGAACACAAATTGATGGTTGGATACAGAAGCTAGATTTGTCATGTCAAGGAGGTTGTCATAAAACAGTGGGCACGGGACTGAAATTAGCGGCGGAGTGAGCGACCGAGGCGCATTCGGGAGTATCAAAGAAGACGAGGTGTGTGAGTTTTGCGCGAAAGCAGGACGATCGGCCAGAGATGGGAGAATGTGGCGTCGAGAGAACTTGAAACGGGCTAACTGCATGACTGTTATCTGAGCTACATTAACCAGAGGAGAAGAGAGAGTAACAAGTGAACAACACTCTATGGCCAAGGAGGTAATTGAACAGGTTATTTCACCCAAGCATCACAGTAGTCATTTCAACGACCAAGAAAAATACATCCAAACATCAGCACAGCAATAACAGCAGCGAGCCAAGGAATCGGGTTGTGTGTATGTTTATACAGTCTCAAACTTGATCTGCCTCAACGGGCGATGAGTCTCCCAGCTGTAGATGACCGCTAGCCTGGGGCCCTTAACGTGCATCACGTAGCAGTGATACACAACCGCACGCCAATACAGTGCTCATCCAGATCGAAACGGGCAAATGTGGGGATTGAACACACGATTCTGGGTGCTGCAGCGCGAGCTTTCACTCCACATTCTCCGAGCTGGTGCGTGCAAGCCCCCTCGGCCACCAATCCCGCAGTGCCAGGGAATAACATATAATAAATGACAATGGTACAGTGGTCTGCAACAGGTAGCTTTTCAGTGCCTTGAGAAACCAGGTTGAGATCACGTGACACTTTCCTGCCATATATGGCTTGCAAAATAGAGATGCATAAGTCATAAAGCAAGTAATAATTTGATTTTGTTTTTACTAAAGACATCAGCATCTGTATTTGGCTTCCACGACTTCTGAAAGCTACCTCTGAGTGCATAGAGTGGTTTCTTTCATAATCTTACCTCCATGGAGAATTTCCCAGCTGGTAACGGGGCCGTGAAACGCAGACCCCCTGAAGTCGCACAGGCGCCGAGGGCATTACACAGGGCCCGCAACATGTCCTCCGAGCAGAGGGCCCTTTCAGTAGCCCGGCAGCCGGTGGATTCTGTTGGAATGATAGGGTAGGGGGAACACAAGCATTTGCAGGTTAACGGACCTAAGAAAACTAGTAGGCAGGTACGAAAACATGCTACTCGCCCCCGCAGCGTTTGCCTCACTGGCACTTTATGGTGAAACAAATCAGCAGCGAGCGACTGATGGAACACGCGTCAGAAGAACAGTTCGTCTTGAGTTTAACACCCCAGGACGGCGCTTTATCGCGCGCGTAAAGCATTGGCGTAGCCAGGTTTTCTTGGGGCCGGGGGGGATTTCGGGTGCGAAGTACTGAACACCCCCTCCCTGGCTACGCCACTGGCAAGAAGTGACATCGGATGTCACTTAGACACGGCGCTATCACTGCTAAAATAGACTACCATCGAACACCGAGTCGTGACTGCGAAGTTAATGACCCACATACAGATATCCTACCACACTATCTGTTTGGACAAGTGGCATACAATCTGTCGCTGGGGGGAAAGACTAAGAACAGACAACTGCGCACTCGGCTCGGTCGTACCACACCGATCGCCTAATCCGCTGCTTTTTCGTAACATTCCGTTTTACTTTGCTATACTCCTTTCACGTGCAACTGTTTGTGAATCATGCGAACTGTACAGAAACGACGTAACTCACCTCAGCGAGCGCCATGGCGCGGTTCTCCGGGTTCCAGCGCTGCGGGAGATCGGCCTTCGAAAGCTCGGCAGCCCGTTCAGCTCGCCGAAGAGGGCTGTAGCTACACTTCGGTGCTTCACGGAGACACCGAGACACTTGCTGGCGAAAAGGGGTCTCCGCCAAAAAGTAGAAAGGCTCACTCGCGTCGCACATCACCGTGCTGACGTTGGGGGGGCTCACATCAACATCTCACCGCCGAAGACCGGGACGCATATTGGTGCTTCGTATGCTCCCAGGGTAAATTCTTTCGCGTCAAACGAAGTAACGTACATTTCGAGGTATTTCCGGTCTCTTTTTTCCGTATGCCGCGTCTTCGTTCAAGCACTAGCAGTGGATTTCCGAGAGCCACAGAAAAGGCCTTCCGCAATGGCTGCGGAGAAAAGACGACACCGCTTTGTTTACCCCCGAGCTCCCGCCAGCTCCCGCCCGGAGCCATCCTCCAATCAGAGCGCGGCGAGGTGACGTCACGCCACCGGCCTGCGCGAAAGAGCAGACGGCTTTCCTTCCGTATAGACCTTTGTCCGGAAGTGCTCTTTTTAGCCTCGACCGCAAGGAGCAAAAGCGAACAATAATCTCGGACCCAGACGCTCACGGGGAGTGGGGGCTGCGTCGGCCTGCGCCGCCGCTTCCCGTTGAGGGCTTCTTCGCTGGTGCGCCGACTGCCGTTTCGCCGGCGTCGGTCTTGTTTACCGCGGTATGTGAGTATAGTGCCCGTAATGTGAGAGCCGTGTGTCCATACGCCACTTTGCCCCTGTTGGTTTCCATCTAACCGAGCCAGAAAACATCTCGCGACAAGTTGACCGCGCCGCGAGTGACGAAGAAGAAGCAAACATGGCGACGGTTGACGCGTGTTAACATTCTCGGAGCCCTCGTTTACGCCGCTTCGCAGCGGCAGACAAGGCGCTACATTACAAAAGAAAGCTAATCCGAGCTGTCTATGTAACTAGACCCATTCGCTAGTCATTCCATAAAACGTCGTGGTCTCGTTTTCATTCGCTAAAACGGCGTTCGATCAAGTGAACGCCTCCCACTTATTTCGGCTCGGCAGAGCCGCGCTGCCGCAGAAAGGCAAGCAGATCGCGAAAATCGGTCTCAAACGTGCCACGAATGTAATGTCGTATACAAGAAGCCAACAATCAAGCATTTGAAAGCTACAAGAAAGCGGCAGCGAAATATTTACTACGCAATGAACCCGGACTGAAACGCGGATGTCAAGGGTCAGCAGACACCGAGAACATTTAGGACAAGAAAGGTTTTCTCTTGTTTTCTCGATCGAGATGGGTTCTCGAATGTTCACGACATCTTATCTGTTGAAGAACGGGTCGCGGAGGCTTTGGTGAAGACATCGTTCACGATGTGCCGGTGCATTCGGACAGTCTGCCGCATCCAGCTCCCCAAAGCAACGCCGCCAACGCAGCCCCCCCCCCCCCCCCCCCCCCTCCTGCCTGCCAGTTCTCTCCGCGTGGTGGCGCGAGCGTAGATAAACATGGCGGCGCCCTGGAATTGGCGCGGACACTGGTCTATAGAGAGGTCGAATTTTCGACGAGCGCGGCGTGACTGACGTGACGTAACCGACTTCGGCCAGCGTTCGCTTGCGCGCGCGTTACGTCGGAGTATAACAGAGCCTTAAGGACCAGCTCCGCGCTGCAGCGCATCCGCTCCTAAGAAGTCGCAAAAGGCTTAAAAGCCAGTCTGGTCTCTCTCGGTCTTAGTCGGTCGGAAGGGTGTGAACGGCGCTTAAGCTCCATCGCTTTCCACATGACCCCGGTTTCAGGCGGCAGTCGATTGCGTCCGTAAACCGAAAAGGCGTTTCCTCAACGCCAACCTCTCGACTGTACTCGGAACATTTTTTTGTGAATGGAACGCGCACCGAACGCTGTACCGCCGATCAACGTGGGGTACGCTCGCAAGGTGCGTGCGAGTTTTCTTCTGACAACTGCTGTTTCAGCTTGTAAAATTTTGTAACTGAATATATCTTCATATTGATAATTTGCAGTGGTGACTGACTCGATTTTATCGTCTACAACGCTTAGTTGAAGGCTCGTTTCCGCCGCCGGGTGAGGCTGGAAATTTTCGAAATGGTAGTTCTATCGGTTTTCCTGAATCGCGATCTCCTGCGTGATATCAGAAAGCCGGCAAAAGCGCTCCTTGGAGTGGCGCTGGTGGGTTGTTTCCGTTGATTGGGCGATTTGAAACGCTGGATAGTCGCTGCAGGGTATGTTTCGTGTGTTGCGATCTGCAGTGTGCAGGTTTCTTTGTTCGAGTCATGGCATCCGTCAGTGCGGCGACAGGGGGAACAGCGGTAGCGAACGTGCCAGCGATAGAAATTGGAGATGAGTACTCAAAAAATATTGCGTCAAATAGTAAAATGATTCGTGCCCGCTTCGAGGCTTTCTGCGGTTCGATATTGTCACGGTTGGTGACCAAAAGAAAACAGGAAATAAACAGGGAGAAATAAACGTTTAATGTGGCGAACTTGTGCCGAAAATAAAGAAGGAAACAGAAGAAAGCAGAGCGTCGCGGGCGTCGAAGTCGGCGTGTCAGCAGAATCGAGCGCTAGGGCGAGACTGACTCGACAAGGTCGCGGGCGGCCTCTTATCTAGAGTGCGCCGCTATCTCGAAGATTCGGCGAAAGCGGTTCGAGCGTCGCGTGATCGGGGCGAGAATGAACACGCACTTTCTAGAAAACAAAAGCAGGGATAAATGATAGAAGTTACGTGCGGTACATGAATAAACTGGAACTTTCTGGAGGACCGTGACCGAGCGTTGCTTTCTCAGCCTTGCGCGCGGCATTACTCCCCCCTTTAAAAGTGCATCGCCCCGATGCAGTGTAAAACAAATCAAAATAAAAAAGAACGATAAACTGAAGAGTCTTTTGGAGCACAAAAGGTCCACAGTCCTATCGAGCGTAGTACGGCTTCAGGCGCACGACGTGGACGACCTCAGGTCGTGGTGGGCGGCGTGACGATGTTCGTGTTCCGTCGGGCATCACCTCGTAGTTCAGCTCGCCGAGGCGACGAAGTACCTTGTATGGTCCAAAGTACCGTTTCAGCAGTTTCTCACTGAGGCCGCGGCGACGGATGGGCGTCCATACCCACACCCTATCTCCGGGCTGGAAGTGGACGTCCCTGCGACGAAGGTTGTAGCGGCCGGCGTCGACGCGTTGCTGGTCTTGAATCAGGAGTCGGGCGAGCTGGCGAACTTCTTCGGCGCGTTGAGCAACCGCCTGGGCGTCGTCGCTCTCGTTGTCAGATGGCTCATGGGGCAGCATGGCGTCCAGCATGGTCGTTACCTTCCGACCATGTACCAGCTGGAAAGGGGTGAATCCAGTGGTCTCTTGAACCGCCGTATTGTAGGCGAACGTGACGTAGGGCAGCACCTCGTCCCACGTCTTGTGCTCTACGTCGACGTACATAGAGATCATATCGGCGATTGTCTTGTTGAGTCGCTCCGTCAGCCCGTTGGTCTGCGGGTGGTACGCAGTTGTACGACGATGGCTGGTGTGACTGAGTCGGAAGATTTCTTGGGTCAGTTGTGCCATGAACGATGATCCGCGATCTGTAATCAGAACTTCTGGAGCGCCGTGCCGGAGGACGATGGACTCAATGAAAAACTTGGCAACTTCCACAGCAGTCCCCGAAGGAAGAGCTTTCGTTTCGGCGTACCGCGTGAGATAATCTGTGGCGACGATGATCCAGCGGTTCCCCGACATCGAAGGCGGAAAAGGACCAAGTAGATCCATTCCGATCTGCTGGAAGGGTGCAGTTGGAGGAGAAATAGGCTGCAGGAGTCCGGCCGGCCTCGTCGGAGGTTTCTTGCGTCGCTGGCACTCGTGGCATGATCGTGTGTACAGGTGGACGGTCTTGGGGAGCTTGGGCCAGTAATACTTTTCACGAATACGGGCCAGTGTCCGGCTGTATCCAAGGTGTCCGGACGTCGGGTCGTCGTGACATGCTTGAAAGATCTCCCCTCGAAGGTCGGTCGGGATTACCAGCAGCCACGGCGAGTTGTTGTTCCCGAAGTTCTCTTTGTAGAGTACACCTTGTCGGATGGCGAAGGTCGGCAGTACTCGTGAGAAGACACGTGGCACGGTACTCCTGCCCCCTTCCAGGTGCTCGATTAATGCGCGCAGCTCAGGATCGTCCCGTTGACGTCGTGCCATATCGTCGGTGTTCACTGCTCCTAGGAAGCACTCGTCGTCATTGTCGTCGCTGCAGCCGGAAGGGGTTTCGACGGGGGCTCTGGACAGGCAGTCGGCGTCGCTGTGCTTGCGGCCTGACTTATAGACCACTGTCATGTTGAACTCTTGTAGTCGAAGACTCCATCGAGCGAGGCGTCCTGACGGGTCCTTCAGGTTCGCAAGCCAGCAGAGCGAGTGGTGGTCCGTGACTACACGAAATGGGCTCCCGTACAAGTACGGACGAAACTTCGTTATTGCCCAGACGACCGCAAGGCATTCTTTCTCAGTCGTGGAGTAATTTTTCTCCGCCTTGGACAATGTCCGACTTGCGTAGGCGATGACTCGCTCGATGCCTTCATGCACTTGGACTAGTACTGCGCCCAGTCTCGCGTTACTTGCGTCCGTGTGAATTTCTGTTTCCGCATCCTGGTCGAAATGTCCAAGCACAGGAGGAGTCTGGAGTCGTTGTTTCAGTTCGTCGAATGCCTGCTGTTGCTCCTCGGCCCATTCGAACTTCTCGGCGTCCTTCGTGAGATTCGTAAGTGGTGCGGAAATCCTTGCGAAATCCCGAACGAAGCGTCGATAATAGGCACAAAGTCCAAGGAATCTTCGCACGGCCTTCTTGTCTGTCGGCGCTGGAAATGCCGCGACGGCGCGAGTCTTCTCGGGGTCTGGGCGGACGCCTTCGTTACTAACCACGTGGCCAAGGAACTTCAGTTCGTCATAGGCGAACCGGTACTTTGACGGCTTGAGTGTGAGTCCGGCGGTCTGAATGGCTTGAAGAACAGCTCGGAGTCGTCTCAAGTGCTCGTCGAAGTCAGCTGAAAATACTACGACGTCGTCAAGGTAGACGAGACAACTCTGCCACTTCAGCCCTGCCAGCACGGTGTCAATGACACGCTGGAAAGTTGCTGGCGCCGTGCATAGTCCGAAGGGCATCACCTTGAACTCGTACAGTCCATCCGGCGTGACGAAGGCTGTCTTCTCTCGGTCCCGTTCGTCGACCTCGATTTGCCAGTAGCCGCTCTTCAGATCCATCGATGAAAAGTATCGAGAGTGGCGCAGCCGGTCTAGAGTGTCGTCGATGCGGGGGAGTGGGTAGACGTCTTTCTTCGTAACCGTGTTGAGCTGCCGGTAGTCCACGCAGAACCGAAGAGTTCCGTCCTTCTTCTTAACCAGCACGACTGGAGAGGCCCATGGACTGCTTGAAGGTTGGATTATGTCGTCATTCAGCATCTCTTGAACTTGCTGATGGATCA